CTATGTATGTTCATGCCGTCATATTTTATTGCTGGTTGTCCATGATCTAGGTCTACCATTTATATTGATCTCGTCAGCCTTAAAAGATAATAATGAAGGTTAGATGAAATGTACGTTGGTGCTCGGCAAGTGTGGTCAATAGTGAAATGTACTTACGTTGGTCTCAAGTAATCACTCAATACCTCTCGCCTAAAGAGTGATTCCGCCCAAATCGGCTATTTCAAGTCCAAATGGGTAGCAATAAAAATAATTGAATATGAGTCCAAGTTGGATAATCCCTATCTCTAGTTCAAATCCTTTAATTAAACTAATCGATGCTTCAACTAATTCAGTTTCTAGTTATCCAAGAGTTCCTAGACTAAATTCCTCTTTCTCAAGTAAGAACAAAGTCAAATAGGTATGAATCAACATTTGTAACAATCAATTCTAACTTTAAAGCATAAACAAGGCTAAACAACAATAACCCAATCAATAGCAAGCATTAATATTAAACACCCATAAGTTTTACACACTATGGTTGAATCACAACCCTAGATAAAAATCTAGCTTCTCATGGCAATGATCATAGAAAAAGAAAAAAAAAAGATATTAAAGATATAAAGTTAAATTAAAATAAAAAAGTAATTGATCCTCTTTAATTGTAGCTCAAAGTTTCTCCAAATAGCTAAGAATAACTACTAGATGTTGTTACAATACAAAAAGATCGCTTAAAAAAGTATTTCACGCCTATTTATAGTGCTCCAAAACTTCTGACAAAAATACCCTTCGGAGGGTTCTGCGGCCGCACTTTAACCTCTGTTGTCTGCACTTTGTTAGGTTAACATTACAGGTGCTTTCACTTGAAGGAGTTGCGGACGCACATGAATTGTTGCGGGCCGCATTTTGAAGAGGCTCCAGACTTGTTCGGTTACACATCCTCTGATCTTCCAGGCTTGTCGATACGAACCTATTTTTACGGACAAAGTGCGACTGCATATTTTAGTCTGCAGACCACACTTTTGTCAAAAATCCCCGAATCTCTAGTTCTTCTTCTGCGGTCGCATTTCATATTTTGCGGTCCGTCCTTGCTTCTGTGGACTGCATTTTTATTAGCATTTCTTCTGTTTGCTGAACTTGGTTAGATCATCTCCTTTTTAAGTTATTTTTCCTCATTAAGCACATATTCTCCAGCACACCTGCAATTTAACCATTTTATTATATTCGAAGACAAAAATCAACACTTACGGACTAAAAACTATAGCAAAAAAGTACTGATAAGTGGTTAAAATCCAACACCTATAAGGCCTACCAGTAGTCACTTAAATTGATTTCACACCTTTCCAAAGAAGGTAATAACTCTTCCATAAATACAAATTGACATGTTCTAACTGCTACTCGTGGATATCCAAGTAAGCTCGTAATCCACCAGTCTCAACTGCTGATATCAGACCAATTATCAACTCAAGTATCAAGAAGAACCATCTTGTAACCTTTCCCTTCACTTTTCCTCCAACTAGACAAATCACAGATGACCTGATACAACCTCATGGAACCCAAATACTTGGAATAATCTAGCCTATAATCCTCCGAAGTCATTCCTTAATTCGTTCACCATTCTAACACAAGGGAAGAAGGCAAAGAAATTCTCTTAAATCATACTTCTCAATCAAAGGATCTTCAAGGGAGATATCTCATTACACTTGGGCAGATCCTACCTATATCAAGTACTGCAAACCATGTACCATATCTTGTCAAGCATAAGCTTTCTCAAGTCACGCATATTGAATACACACAATCATCTAAGTAGCCATTACTTTGTTCACTATTAAAAAGATAGTTTCGCCTCTAGAAATTTGATCTCTAAACCTCAAGAATGCAAAAATTCTTGTACCCATGAGTGAATTCCCTTTAATGTCATCGCCCTTTTAAGCTTACAACTTAAGTATTTAACTTAACTAGTGAGGTAAATCACAAGCTCGCTTGTAACACCAACTTTAATGTCATGGTCCAAACCATGTTTAGCTTTTAGAAGCTCGCTTCCACACACCCAAGCCACTGAAACTCGATCCCTTTAAGTCAACTAAGTTGCATATATTGTCTAACCTAAAAGTCCTTCCAAAAAATCGGTCATTTCTGTTGAAACACTTGTCCAAGCCACTACTTTACCGACCTAACTTCCTTCTTCAAATCATTCTTTATCCCCCTTTTAAGACATTACATATCTTCTCGAAATGCTATGATCTTTACCCAAAACTCACTCTAAGTGATGTCGACTAAGGCAAAGTTTTTTTAATGTCTATAACACTTTTTTTCCTCATAACATACTCCGAAGTACCTCAAGGCGAGAGATTCGCTCTAAGGAACCTTCCAATGAATCCAGATTTATCACTTTCATTTATTCAAATTCGTAGAGTTATATTATTAGTGATATATAAGTATATTGAATCCCCAACGGCAAACCAATGCCAAGTCCAAATTTTCAAACAAGTGGAATATTTGATAATTTCTTGAGTAGCAAATCTTGAAACTTAATAGCCACTTAAAACATTTAGAGAGTCGATAACTTTGATCTAGTGTCCAGATGCATAACCAAACCTTTTGAACAAACGGTATTCTATTTGCACACCAACTCCCTAGATGGAGTTATAACCTCGTCATTAGGCAACCGAGTGAAACTTTTCTCGTTCAATGCTTTATCCCCTAAGAATAACAAGTCTGAATCATCCAATAATTTTAGCATATCATCAATATGGCCTCAATTTCACCATTATCATGTCATAACTGATCCGTAAGTGCATCTTAGTTTAGGGGCTATAACAACACAAGTCTGTAAGATCTGATCGTCGATGATAGACTCCTCCACTTGGCTCGAAGTCACTAGCATATAATCTTAGAACTTACAGTAACTTATTCCCGCTCAATTACCATGTCATCTTGCTGACACTTAACTTTTCTTCTCATTAGTTGATGTGATACTAAGCATAACACCATTTCAAAACATCTACAAAAATGCACAATTTATCCTTATGACATTCGTGTCACCTTGCTATAGTTATTACAACACTTACTGTAGCACATTCATTCTACTGGACAGAAGGAATACTCTTTATAAGAATCTCTTATGAAGTCATACGATCTCGGAACTCATAATAGGATATAACCTTACCATTCTTACCATTATCCAACGTCTCCCCATAACCTTATAATGGCTTCTTCCCTCTATGTGATAAACCGATTCTTCTAAGTGTTTACGTCCAAAGAGTATTAGAATTTTTTCTATCTCACTAATGAACTACCGAAGATCCATTGATACGTATATGTTATATGACTGAAGTAATACTCAAGGACTATGCTAAAGTATTTTCGTTTTCCTTTGCATCCCAAGCAAATTCTTCTCGTTATATCTACACTCACAGCGTAGTCCGTAGACATAATAGCACTCATCACATAGTTATCTTGCTAATCGCACCAATTCAAATTGAGAACTCTACCCTTTATTATCTTTTAAAGATATAGAGGTGCCTGCTTAATCCCAAATTAATGGAGACAATCTAGCTATCCCATAGCTCACTGTGTCATCACTTTCATTTCTATGAATATTTTGGAGTGAAGTGTCTTAAATCAACACCTCACAAATGACTCTCTCGAGCCTAAGTTGGTGGTCTATAATTGGCCACATGTCCTCTAGATTGACCTACCCTATATCATGGAAAAAATATCTCGCACCTTATGCGCGACATCATCTCAAGACTCTGGTGCCTAAACCGACAACATGTTCCGCACATCGCATAGGAAAGGGAAGGAGAATCTCAGAGTCCTACTTCTAATTTTATTGCTCGAGGAGTGAATGAAAAAAGAAAATACTTTCCTAAATACTTCTATAGCCTCTCACTTATAAGTATGGAACTCTACATACTTATTTAAAATACATCTATAGTCTCTCACTTATAAGTATGGAACTCTACGTACTTATAAATAAGACTCTGCTAAAACACTACTCATGACTAGTAAGACCTGTGAACCGACTCTAATACAACTTTGTTATAACCCACATTCCACCAAGTCATGATAGCACCTGACTCAACCTGCTAGGCAAACTAACCAACACAATTGTAACTCAAACAGAAGATATTTATATAAATAATAAAATTAAAATGTGAAATTTAATACAAACTACCAAAATGTGAAATTTAATACAAACTACTCCACGAATTAGAAGTCATGGGCTACTAAGACTAGGAATACAATACTGATATAAAAATACAACTTCTATTAAAATTTATAATACAAAATACAAGGTCCTAAACTACCATGAACAAAATGACAGCTTGTGACTAGCAAGCTGATTTATCTTCAAAGCTCGCCCAATTTTTTTTTTCTTTTTCAATCTTGCACCAAACTCCCTGAAACTCACTTGAGCCCCTCGTGTTCTAAACCCGATCATTCTTGTGAGTCCAATAATAATATACAGGCCAATCCAAGGTCTCAAAACATAATCAATATTCAGAAACTAAGATCGAGAGGTAAAGTCAACATTTGAAATCCTTAAATTCTCAAGTTGTATGCAACAGTGTCGAACGCCTCCCCGACCTCTTGGGATCCAAACCAAACGTACATACATGTTCAAAAATACCATATTAACTTATTGAAAAATTCAAATCATGAATCAAAGCTTGAATACTAGAAACGATTTAAGCTCTTTAAACTTCCATTTAACAAGATAAGATTTCAAATCTTCCCCGAGTCCCTCATGGTCTAAATCATCCATACTTGCAATTCCTAAAATATCATATGGACCTTTAGGAAGTAACAAATCGAGGATATGGGGTATAAAATTCAAATTAACCAATTGGATCGATCAAATTCAAGGTCGGATTGACATCCTTACCTTTTTTTTGGAACCCTAGCTTTTGAGGAAATTGAACGTTCTTGCTGATTCTTGCAAAATCTGTGGATATTGATTTGTAGGAATGACTAGCGTTAAGTAGTATTTAATCCATAATAATATAACCAAATATTCATACTGTTAGCTACCATGGACAATTGATCTAAAGCTTGAGTGGAGAGAAGATTAACACAACAAGAGAGAAGAGAAACAAGCACTGGTTCATTGAATAGCTGCAGAAGAAAATAAAATGAAGTCGTGTGTTTACAAACTAAGATTACAGATATTTATATGTACTTCTAACTAACAACTAACTACCTTTATTAACTAACTAACCAACCTAGTTAGTGATTACAATAATAGTTAACTATAGTTAATCAGCTTGTTGATTCAATCATTCAACACTTCCCCTCAAGCTGATGATTGGTACACATTCTTCAATCCAAATTTATTTAACAAATACTCATATTGAGCTCTTCCAAGACTCTTAGTTAGTAGATCTTCCGGTTGATCTTAGTATGTACATATTCAGTCTTCAACATTCCTTCACATAGTTTTTCCTACGAAGTGACAATCAATGTCAATATGTTTTGTTCTTTCATGCAAGATTAGATTTTCAACAATTTGAATTGCTACCTTGTTGTCACACACTAACTTCACAGGCAGACTAACTTTGATTCCTAGTTTTGTATATAACTCTATCAACCAAGTGATCTCTGTTGCACAGGAAGCCATGCTCTTGAATTCTGCTTCAACTGAGCTTCTAGAGACAGTACTTTGCTTCTTGGATTTCAAGGATACCAAGGCATTTCCAAACTTCACCAGATAACTAGTTACTAATCTTCTTGTTTGTACACAAGCTCCCCAATCAGAATCACAGTAGGCAGTCAGATTCTTTATGTCTTCTGCGGGCATAAGTAATCCTAAACCAGGTGCCTACATTATATATCTCACTACTCTTGATGATGCCTCCATATGGGAGATTCTAGGACAATGCATGAACTGACTCAAGACTTGTACTACAAAGGAGATATCAGTTCTGGTCATAGTTAGATACAGCAATTTCCCAACCAGTCTTTGATAGATACCAGGATCTCTTAGCACTTCATCAGTAGTGGCATTTTCTTTTCTGAAGGACAGATCATATTCTACAATGGTCAGTTTTTGGTTGAGCTCCATAGGTGTGCTAGCTGGCTTTGCTCCACTGAGGCCTGCTTTAGAGATCAACTCTAAAGCATATTTCCTCTGACTTATTAGGATCCCCTTGTTTGACCTTGCAAATTCAATTCCTAGAAAGAACTTTAGTTCTTCCAGATCCTTTATTTTGAACCTGCCTTGAAGATCCAGCCTTGTGTCACATAGCAGCTTATGGTTGTTGTCAGTAATTAAAAGATCATCTACATACACAAGTATGATCACAATATCATCCCCAACTCTTCTGACAAATAGAGAATAAACATAGTGACTCTATTGAAACCCCATATGTACTAATGCTTCTGTAAGCTTTAGATTCTACTTCTTGGGTGCTTGCTTGAGGCCATAAAAGGAATTGTGGAGTTTGCAGACCTTTTGAGACACCCCCTATCTAGCAAATCTCTCAGGCAAAACCATGTATACTTCTTCATCTAGGTCACTATTGAGAAAAGCATTATGTACATCGATTTGATAAATGTACGAATGCTTTGAGGCAGCAACAGCAACAACAGATCTCACTGTGACCATCTTGGCCACTGGTGAGAAAATTTCTCCATAGTCCAGACCTTCTCTTTGACTATAACCCTTAGCTACCAGTCGAGCCTTGAACCTCTCAACTTCACCAGTAGCCTTATATTTGATCCTGAACACCCACCTACAACTAATAGGTGTCTTGCCAGGAGGTAGGTCTACAACAGACCATGTATTGTTATCCTCCAAGGCATGTAGCTTAAGTTGCATGGCTTCTATCCACCTAGGATCAGATGCAGCTTCCTTGAAGGAAGATGGTTCTGAACTGCTGAGTAAGCTGAGATTGTTTGTCTATAAGTAGGGGAGATATGACGATAGTTCACATGTACAAAGATAGGGAAGTTTCACTTGGTACCTTTAGTCTTTGTGACATAATTATGTAGCCAAACGGGAGGCTTGCTTGGTCTGGAAGATCTCCTACAACTTGTGGGAGGTTCATCACTGACTGCATCAGAGACATGAAGTTCAGCAGAAGGTTCAGAATTATCAAGTACAGTGGGCTCAAAGTTTCCAAGTGTCTGCATATGCTCCTCTGGTGAAGAAGGTGCATCAGATGTATGTTGTAACTCAATGCCTAAGAAGGGGTCAATCTATGAATTCAAGGATGATGATATTGAAGTAGCTGGTGTTGTAGGACTCTCATGAACCACTAGGGAGAGTAAATCCAAAACAAAAAACACAGGATTGCCATATGACTTGACATGTTTGAAAGGAAAAACATCTTCCTTGAATATGACGTTTCTTCTTACGAGAAATGTTTTGAGTGCAATTTATACAAAAAATAACTTTTTTGTATTGAAGAGTATCCCATAAGCACAGCAGGAATAGCCTTAGGTGAGAACTTGTCTAGTACTTGTAAGCACGTGATTTTTGCCCTATGAAAGAATTACTCCCAAAAAATTCAAAATAAAATGATTTTCCTTGGTGTGCAATTTTGAGAATTTTTGTGACATTTTTTGGATAATTATTTGTATTTGTCTGTGCGTGTTTATTTGTTAAATTAATAAAAAATACAAAAATATGTCGCATTTTGCATGTAGGATTTAATTCTACAATTGTTAGTAATTAAGTTTGTTTTACAAAAATTGAAAATTACAAAAATAGGTATTTTTTTGCATTTTTAGCATTTAATGTCCAAATGTACAATTTTATGCTTAATTATTACTTAATTATGCGTTAATTATTATTGGGATTTAATTTGCGCTTTTATAACTTAATAATAATTTAAGGATTTTTAGAATTTAGTTTTAGAAAAATAAAAGAAGAAAAGAGAGCNGCATCGTTTGCATTTTTAGCATTTAATGTCCAATTGTACAATTTTATGCTTAATTATTACTTAATTGTGCGTTAATTGTTATTGGGAGTTAATTTGCGCTTTTATAACTTAATAATAATTTAAGGATTTTTAGAATTTAGTTTTAGAAAAATAAAAGAAGAAAAGAGAGCAAAAATATAAAGAAAATCGGAATTGTGCTCTTCTTCAAATTCAAGCCACAAGCCCAAAGAATACCCAACCTTCCCCATGACCCGGTCCATTTCAAACCGGGTCGACCCGGTCCATAACCCAAAGACCCAACACCCCCCTATCTTGCATTCACAAAACAAAACAAAAAAAACCCCAAAACCTAAACCCATCCGCCACCCCCTCTCTTCTTCTCCAAAAAACCTTCACCCCAAACTCTAGCCAACCATGGTTTCTCACCCTCAATCTCACTCCAAACAGCCCCTCCCTCGTCCGCCATTGAAGGCCAATTGACCCCCATTACTGGCATCTTCTTCTTCGACCAGCTACTGCCCCAAGCTTCCTTTTTGTCGACGAGCTCGTCAAGCTCGTCATGGCTGCTGCGTTGCTGCATCGCCTCCTCCATCTCTCACTCCTGCTTCTGTTACGTCCAAACAGCCCCCATGACTACCTCCTTCACCTCCCCAGCTACCTCGTCGAGCTTGAGCCTGAGCTCTCATGGCTGCTGGTCGCTGCGTCTTCGTCTTCTCCATGGCGATCTCAGGCTCGTCCATGGACTGCCCTCAACTGCCATCTCCGAGCTCCAGCCATGGACGAGGGGTTTTGCTTTATTTGTTCGCCATCCAAACGACCAGCTCCGCCAACAAACCTTCTGCTGAGTTACCGCTGCCTTAGCCCCGTCCAGCTGCCGCTGTTGCTGTTCCATTTTTTCTGCTTCGCCTCCTTCATTACTAAGCGGCCATTTTCCAGCATCTCCTTCTTCCCGTTTCTGCTGTACGAAATGGTAACCGTAGCAGCTGTGATCCAGAGAAAAATTACGAAAGTCACTTGAGGATGAAGTACGCCGGTTGACTCAAACAGTTGGGCAAACG